ATAAAATAAAATAAAATAAAATAAAATAAAATAAAATAAAATAAAATGAGCCAGGTATGGTGGCGCATGCCTGTAATCTGGGAGGCAGAGGCAGGTGGATCTCTGTGAGTTCAAGGCCTCTACAAAGTGCGTCCAGGACAGCCAGGGCTTCACAGAGAAACCCTGTCTCAACAACAAAACAAAACAAAATAAAACTAAACAGAAAATGGTGTTGAGACTATGAGAGAGTTTGGGGACTTCTGAAGTTGGACTAGATGTATTTTTGCATAATGATATGGCCACAAGGTGATGAGCAGGGAGTGGAAATGTGATGGTCTCAATGAGAATGAATATCTGGTCCCTAGTTGGTAGAACTGCTTGAGAAGGATTAGGAGGTGTGGCCTTGTTGAAAGAGGTATGTTACTGGGGATGGGCTTTGAGGTTTCAAAAGACTCATTCCATTACCAGTGTTTCTCTTTGCATCCCGCTTGTGGATCACATCAAGATGTGAGCTCTCAGATGTTCCAGCCACCATGCCCTTGCATGGTAAACATCACAGTCTCTAATCCTCTCAACTGTAAGCTCAATTAAATGCTTTCTTTTATAAGTTGCTTTGATCGGGGTATTTTACTCAGAACAATAGAAAAGTAACTAAGATAGAACCATTTCAAAAGAACTCTGGAGGCTTCTTACTGGCTGTCCCCTTAGTTACATGGAAACAATCTGAAAATCTATAAAGATAATAATTATAATGAACAAAATAAATCAAAATTTTTCTTTAGTATTGGTGTGTTTTGTGTTCACACATGCATGCAGCACATGGGTGTGTGCCCGCCAAGGTGCACAAGTGGTAGTCAAAACAGAACTTCTGGGAGTCAGCTCTCTCCTTCCACCATGTGGATCCTGGGATGGAATTCAGGTAGTCAGGCTTGGAGGCAAGTGCCTGTATTTGCTGACTCATTTTGCCCTATTTGCTTTTAGGTTATTTTTATATTTTATGTGTTTGAGTGTTTTGTCTGTCTGTCTGTCTGTCTGTCTGTATGTATGTGTGCTATGTGGACATCTGATGCCCTCAAAGGTCAGAAGATAGCAGATAGTATCAGATCCTCTGGAAATCAAGTTACAGATAGTTGTGAGCCATCATGTGGGTGCTGGGAACTCAACCGGGATATTCTGCAAGAGCAACAAGTACTGTTATCTACTGAGCCATCTCTCTAGCACCGGCTCCCTTGTAAGACAGAGTCTCACTCTGTAGCCCGGCTGATGTGGGACATGTCTATAGTCCAGGTTTACCTCAAACTCTTGCTTTAGCCTCCTCAGTACTGGGACTATAGGCATAAAATACTATTCTGGTCTAAATTCACAATTTTTTTTCTTCTCTTTTCCTATCACACACTTTCTTGTCTCTTCTCTCTTTCTTTCCTTCCCTCTATTCTTTCCTCCTCCAAAGGGTGCCTAGCCCAGGCTGGCCTCTGATGCCTAATACAACAGAATTGATCCCCCTGAATTTGACCCTGCCATGACATCCAGTTATGTCACAGTCTCTAATCTAGGGCCTCACTACTAGGTAAGCATTCCACCAACTCCACTGCATCCTAGCCCTCACAATTCAGTGCACACATTAACAGAAAGTTCTCAGTGGTCACTTGGAGGATGTTAGAAAACTAAAGAAAAAATATAATCATTTGTTTTGCTTTCTAAATTTAATTATATCTTCAGGTAATCAATAGTAAATGATAGTCTTTATAGATATACTTGTTAATAAACGAAATAATAAAATACCACCAATTTGCAATCTTTAATGAATTAGTAGACCTATGCAATGATCATTAATAGGTAACTTACGTCAAGAAAGATACATACTAACACATTATAGGCCTATTAATGAAAAAAAAATCACAAAACATTCATTAAAAAATAAAAAATCTAAGTGTGGCTCATTGGTAGAATTGCCTAGAATAAACAAAGTCCTGGCTTCAATTGCCAGTATCATAAAAAAAAAAAAAGCAAAACTTCCTGTAGATGATTACATTAAAAAATAAGTCTTTATCTTTTAAAGGACACATACTGATGTAAGAACAATTCAAAATATTCTAGGAGGAGAAACAAGATTAAACATCCTAACCAGAAATTATGTAGCTTGAGTCTAAGTACATGGCAGTATCAAACCTGTCTGTTTTTATGTACACTTAGAAATTTTCTTATTAATGTTGTTGAAGAAAGAAAGAAAAGACATTCACTTTCAAACACTTTTTAATTTGTTCTTTTCTCAAATACATTTTTATTTATAATATTAGCTACAGGAAGTTGAGAAAATTTGGAACTTATGAAGCAATCCTAAGAATTAGAGCATGAACAAAACAATCATGACTAAAGTCAAAATGCCTGCTTTCGGCATATAAGCAACATAGGTATTATTCCTTCAAAATGCTACTTTTTAATTTAATACCAAAACTTAGGACTCTATAATGCTTGTTTCCCTTCTGCCCCTTCCCCATCTCTTTTCCTTTCTTCCCTCTATACTCACCACTTTCCATCTTTCTTTGACCAAGATTCCAACACTGAGGATATCTGGCTGCTCTCCTCCCCCACTCATTGCAAAACACTGAGGTGGTAAAACAGCTACACAGGCATCTAGCTCCCGAGGGTGGTTTCCATTTAACCTAAAACAAAGGAAACAGCAGCAACAGAGCTAATTAACACAAATAGCATTCTAGCCTCAAGAAGCCTACTGATTCCATACATTAATTATGTTGCTTCCTCAGAAGGGAAGGGGACCTCCTATACATTCCAGGTAACGCAAATGATCTCTCCAGTGCAGATGATCAGCCATTACAAAGACACAGTGCATAGATTTCCAACAACTGAAACAGCGGAGTAAGCAGATGAAGCAGCCCTGAGTATAAACATTGCCAGAGAAAAAGACTTTACACACTTACACACTTTACAGATTTGAACCTAGGGCTCTGTGCATGTTTGGCAAGGGCTTACCACTGAGCTATAACCTTAGCCTTTTCATATTTTAAGACAGGGTCTCAAATTGTTCAGGCTGCTATAAACTCACTCTGTAACCCAAGATGGCTTTGAACTTGTGGTTCTCCTGCTCAGCCTCCCAATCAACTGTTTGTATCACAGCATGTGCTACCAGACCTGGAAAAAGCCTAGCGTTTAATAGGTTTAACGTACATTTAATATCACTAGAGCTAGTAACATTTAATATTACATCCATTCATTCTTTTTTTTTTTCATGTGTGTGTGCATATGTACTAGTACATTGTCACATTTCTGGCACATGGATAGATGCCAAGTGTAGAAGTCAGAGGACAACTTGCTAGAGTCAGTTCCGCTCTTTTAACAAGTGGCTTCTAGTGAACTCAGGATTGGCAGCTAGCATCTTTACTTGCTCAGAAATCTCACCTAAATCTTACAAAATACATTTCAAATTATGTAGGCAGAAAAAGACTGTGATAAGAGTAAAGGAAACCACGGAAAACGGAAAGCTGGTGACGATGTAATTGAACAAGGGACCATGTTCCAGCCCCAGCAAGGAGCAGAACGTGGCAGCTTTGGCCACATAGTTCTGGCTTTAGATTCAAGGACAGAAGAGAGGTGTGATGGAATCTCTCTCCAAGACTAAGGAAAGTTCCTGAGGCCAGATGATGTGGCAGGGCTGTCTCCTGCAGGTAAACCCTGCGTTGCCTTGGAGACCCAAAGATGTTGGAGATGTTACAGCCATAATATACCTGCCAAGGAGAGCTGCTAACAGTGAGTGGAACCAGCCAGAAAAAGAAGTATGTTGCAGTCAACAGAGCTGAAAGGAGTTGGAGATCTGAAGAGTGCTTTGACATCTGATGAGGAAATGAAGAGTTTGGAGTTTGCCCAGCTGGTTTTCGGTCTTGCTTTGGTCCAATATTTCCTCATTGTGTTCCCTTACCTACATTTTGGAATGGTAATGTATATCCTCGGCCATGATATGTTGGAAGTATGTGATCTGTTTTTTGATTTTTACAGGTGATTACAGCTAATAGAGTGCGTAAATCTAAAAAGAGACTTTTAATTTTGGACCTTTAAAAACGCATTTTGCACTATGTCACGGCAATATGCCTAAGGGGCCAGGGAGTAGAACACTGTGGTTTGAATAGGTGTGGCCCCCACAGACTCAGGTGTTTGAATGCTTGGCCCATAGGAAGTGGCCCTGTTAGGTGGTGTGGCCTTGTTGGAGGAAGTTTGTCACTGGAGATAGACTTTGAGGTATCAATGCTCAGGCTATGCCAATGTGTCAGACAATCCCCTTCTGCTGCCTGCAGATCAAGATGTAGAACTCTCAGCTCCTTCTCTAGCACCATTCCTGCCTGCACCCTGCCATGTTTTCCCTCATGGCGATAAAGGACCAAACTTCTGAAACTGTAAGCCAGCACCAATTAAATGTTTTCTTAAAAAGAAAAAAAAAAAAAAGACTGTGAAAAAAAAAAAAAAAAATATTTAAAAAAAAAAAAAAAAAAAAAAAACAGTAAAATAGCATACCCCCCAAAAAAGAGAATAGTATACCTGTGAAAAATAAAGAGCAAAAAATACAGCCTAATTGAAATGGAAACTATAACTTCTTCCACAAATAAAGAGAGAAAACAACAAGTTAAAACATTTTTAACATGCTGTGTGTGTAGAGGCCAGAAAACAACCTGGGATGTAATCCTTGGTGTTCTGGCTAGTTTTATGTCAACCTGACACAAGCTACAGTCATCAAAGAGTAGGGAGCCTCAGTTGAGAAACTGCCTCCATAAAATCCAGCTGTAGGCAACCTGTTGGGCACTTTCTTAATTAGTGATTGATGGGAGAGGGCCTCGGGAGAGGGTCCAGCCCAATACTGTGATGGTGTCACCCCTGGGCTGACGGTCCTGCGTTCTATAAGAAAGCAGGCTGAGCAAGCCTTGAGGAGCAAGCTGTAAGCAGCACTCTTCCAGGGCCTCTGCATCAGCTCCTGCCTCCAGGTTCCTGCCCAACTTGAGTCTGACTTCCTTTGATAGCGAACTGTGATGTGGAAGCAGCAAGCTAAATAAACCCTTTCCTCTCCGTGTTGCTTTTGTCATGGTGTTTCATCACAGCAAATGAAATGATAAGTTACTCAGGAACATCACCTTTGAGACAGTCTCATACTGGCCTGAAGCTCACCAATCAGGCCTGGCTGGCTAGCCCTGACATCCTTGATTATGCCTCCCCAGCAGTAGGGCTGAAGCAAAGAACCACCCCATTCAGCATTTGTAAGCAGATTCTGGGTATCAGGCAAGGATCCTATGCTTGAGAGGCAAGCACAACTGAGCTGTCTTCTTAAACCAAATATTAAGAGGAAAAAAGCAAGATAAAAAAAGGGTTTATGGATGCTGCTTTTTGTGTAAAAAAAGGAGTACACTGAACTAATTGCTTTTATTTAAAAGAAGAAAAAAAATGGCCAAAAGAATTTAAATAATTCTTCATAACAGTAGGCAAATTTTCAGTAAAAGGCCAAAAAGCCTTCATTAGCCATATATTGTCATAGCTATTAAATTCCAAGACAACCACTAGGAAACTAGACAAAGGCCACCCTACAAATCAAGTTCAAGGCTAGCCTGGGTTACGTGTGTGTGTGTGTGTGTGTGTGTGTGTGTGTGTGTGTCTGTGTGTGTGTGTGTTTTCATTTCTTATCAACTGAACAGCAGCTAACAATTATCTGTAATTCCAGCTTCAGGGGATCTGATGCCCTCTCCTGGGCTCAAATAAAGGAAAGTAAAAAGAACTTGAAAGTAATGAAGACCATATAGGTTTTCCAAAAGACATGTGGTCAAGGACAATAAATAGACTTGACTACTGAGCCAACAAGATGGCTCTGGAGTTACTGCCAAGCATAATGACTTGAATTTGATTCCTCAGCCCTATGTGGTAGAGTGAGAAAAGCGACTTCTGCAAGTTGTCCCTGACCTCCATACATGGACAGTGGCACATGTGCAAACTGTCTCTCTCAAATAAATAAATAAACTTTTAAAAACTTAACATCAGAAAGCCTGTCACTGAGTTCGTGCCAGAGAAAGCCCCTGCTCCCCTTATTAGGGAACCCACTTGGAGACTGAGTCGATGGGCTATATCTGAGCTGGGGTTTTAGGTCCTCTCCGTATTGTCCTTAGTTGAGGGATCAACCTTCAGGTCCCCCAGGGCTCAGTTTTTTGGCTCTGTTGGTCTCCTTTTGGAAGAACAGGGAGGGAGAGTGGGATTGGGAAGGGGCCATAAGCTGGGATACAAATTGAATAAATGATAATAATAAAAAAGAAAAATAAATAAAAGAAAAAAAAAAACTTGACATCACAGTTTCTAGCAATCCCTCTATTCCTAAGTGTAAACAATACCAACCTATTTCCTACTTCTCTTCTTAGCCAACAGTGAGTTTCTTTCCATAGGCACTTGATCTTACTGGCTTTATAATTCTGAGGAGAAAAAAGATTTCAGTTTGAGGTAAAAAGTTATTTAACAAACATACTTAACATTGAACTGTTTACTTCAAAATGCTAAAGAAGGCAAATATTATGCTTCATTATATTTTACCACAACAAAAAGTTTTTTAAAAAGTTTAAGTAGGGCGTGGTTTTACACACCCATAATCCCTGAACTTGGAAGGCAGAGGCAGAGAATCAGGTTCAAAGCCATTAACACCTACATAGTGAGTTTGAGGCTAGCATAAAACACACACACACATAAATTTACTTATTGGGGGTGCTCAAGACAGAGTTTTTCTCTGTGTCACCTGGACTTCACTTTGTACTCCAGGCTGGCCTTGAACTTTGAGATCCACCTGCCTCTGCTTCTGCATGCCTGCTGCCTCTATCTCCACCACCACCCAGCAAATGAAGATACTTCTACAATATATTCTAATTGTCTCTATCTCCTGTTATTGACCATTTCCTCCCTTGAGGACTGAGCTAGATCTAGCTTCTTGCCTCTAATTAAAAGAACAAGGCAAAAGATATTTCCTCTTTCTCTCCCTGTATGTGCCTGCTGCCATGAAGCATCGTCCTCTTGCCCCATGAAAAGGGCTGCCTGGAAGAGAAGGAAAGCAGCCTCTGCTAGAATATTACACAGTTCTGAGAATAACAGGCATCAATGGCTATCGAGGAACTGTCCCATAAGACTAACAACTCCCAGGACACAACACCTACCACCACCAGAACAACCCTTCCCGGCAGCCTACCTTACCACTGCCTGTGACCCACCCTGATCAAGTCCCTTCTTGGGTTATACTCAAATTACTGACCCACAGACACTGAGATAAATGTTTTAAAATACCAATCTTGCTTAGCAGGAATCCCCGCCTTTAATCCCAGAACTTGGGAGGCAGAGGCAGGCAGATCTCTGTGAGTTCAAGGCCAGCCTAGTCTACAAAGTGAGTCCAGGACAGCCAAGGATACACGGAGAAACCCTGTCTCAAACAAAACAAAACAAAACAAAACAAAACAAACAAAAAAAAACCCCCCACCAAGTCTTAAGTGGGCACAGTGGCACACATCCTAAAGCTGAGACAGAAGGATCTTGAAAACAGCCTGGAGTACCAAGTCAGACTATCCGTGGCAATAGGTAAGTAACAATATGCCAGCCTTCACGTGTATGCAGCAATACTTTCTCAAAGTGCATGATTACAGGTTCCTTTTCAATTCTACATCATAGATATTTGAAAAACTATGTAACATGCTATTAAAAACAATTCTGTTAATAACTATGTTATACTCATTTTTTGTAAGATTACCCCCATAAAAATAAGTCAGAGCAATAATACTATTTTCTTCAAGAGAATTATTGAATATATTCCTTCCTGGCAATATCCTTTGGTTTTTTGTTTGTTTGTTTGTTTGTTTTTTGTTTTAGTTTTTTGCTTTTTTATTTTTATTTTTTTGAGACAGGTTCTCTCTAACAAGGATACCTCTGGCTGTCCTGGAACTCACAGATATCCACCAGCCTCTGTCTCCTGTGTGCTGGGATTAAAGAAGTTTGCCACCACCTCCAACTCTGGCAATAGTATTAGTGACCTAAAATAGGAAGTAAATCTCATGGTAATAAATTTTCACAGTAACACTAAATCTGGATATGTTGACAAACAGACACAAAAAGGATCAAAATATGGACAAAACATGCTAAATGAAGATCAACTTGTAAATATAGAAGAACATGTGGTTTAAAAATCACTTGAAACATTTGCCAAATAGTAAATGACTGAGAAAAAAAATAGCAAATTAGTTAGGGTCTCTATTGCTGTGAAGAGACTCGATGGCCACGGCAACCCTTATAAAAGGAAAACATTTAATTGGGGCTGGCTTACAGTTTCAGAGTCCATTACCATGGTGGAAGCATGGCAGTGTGCAGGCAGACATGGTGCTGGAGAAGCTGAGAGTTCCCTATCTTGACCTACAGGCAGTAGAAGGAGACTGGCACTCCTGGTCATACTTGAGCTTACAAGACCTCAAAGCCTACTTATAGTGCCACTCCCTATGGGCCAAGCATTCAAACACAGGAGTCGTGGAGACCATTCCTATTCAATCCACCAGAGTAAGTAATCACTGGCAGCATCAGGTAGCCACAGAACAAGAAAGTGAACTAAAACAAAGAGTTCTATTTGAGAAATGAACCTAAGGCTGCAGTGACTCCACTGTCTTCTAACTAAGAATGTCCATAAAATAGGTTAAGGTCAAACTACCTAGATTGAAACAAAGAGTAAGTAGGTTGTTTTTCCATTATTGCTGAGATCATTGTACCCTTACAGTGTACTCTACAAACTGGCCTTAAAAAGGCTAACAATGAGCCGGGTGTGGTGGCCCATACTTGTAATCCCTCTGCCTCTGTGGAGGCAGAGGCAGGAGGATCCCTTTGAGTTTGAGGCCAGCTTGAGTTCAGGACAGCCAGGGCTATCAGGGCTATTACACAAAGAAACTCTGTCTCAAAAAACAAAACAAAACAAACAAAAGGCTAACAATGGTGTCTACGATTCAAAGTGCTAATGTATGTAAAGTGTTTACTTCTAACAGAACCTGATACACTGTGTTCAATAAATAGTAGTTACATGTAATATGTCATTTTGCAAGTTTCTTAATTTACAGGAAAAGTCACATTCCCATTCACAAACACAATATCTATAACAGTTTCTGTATTGACTGACTACTAATAAAAAGAACCAATTGTGATTGCATGGAGGGCCAAACACTGAAACCTATTAAAATAACTACTACTTAACAAATTCCTTTCAAAATGTTTATCAGAAGAAAATTATTGTTTTACAACCTGAATAATACTTAAAACCTGATTTAAAGCACTTACATTGCTATATATTTGCTGTAAAAACTCGTAGAAAAATTAGTTGATCAAAAGAAAATAAAACCAGGTGTGATGGCCCACATTCAAGAGGCAGGTAGATTTCTCTAAGTTCCAGGTCAGCCAATGCTACACATTGAGACCCTGTCTAATAAAAGAAACAAAACAACAAAAGAAAAACAGGAAGAGGGAGAGAGAGAATAGAAACAAACCAATGACATCTACTATTGAAAAAATATAAATTACTTTCCAAGTGTATTTTCTCCTGAAGGAAATGAGTACCTCTTCATAAAATAAATAATGAAGCATTATTTCAGCTTGCATAAAAATATTTTTGAAAAACGTTTCCTTTTATTAGCACATTCAACTGAACAAAATAAGTTTCATTATATTTTTATACATATTTAATGTATTTTTCTCATTCACCTCTCTCTAAAGCCTCCCCCGCCAAAGTCAACTTTTTATAGCTCAGGCTGGTCTTGAACTCAGTGATCCTTCTTCCTCAGCCTCCTTGGGATTATAGGTATGCACCCACCATGTCCAGCTCAAAGTCATAATAGTAAAAAATGTGGACCCTTGTACCCTGCTGACAGTACACTTGAGATATAGCTCTGTTGTAAATGACTGAAGATGTGCTTCTCTGTGACCCTAAATCCTTTCTTAGTATATCTCCCAGAGAAACTCTTGGTTACTAGGATGGATACAGAAATATTCAACAACCTAGATGTCCAGCACAGGAAGAATAGATAAATTCTAGCATATTCACATGGTAAACAGTTTTACTAGCTTCCTACTGGTACCGTAATGAAACTAAAAATGACCCAAGTTTATCTTACAGTTCTAGATGTCAGAAATCTAGACTTCCACTGTGGAAGCAAGGCTATGTCCCCTCTGGAGGGTCTACGGGAAAATTCTTTTCCTTTCCGGCTTCCAAAAGGAGCCTGAACTCTTTGGCTTATGATTTCATTCCATCTTCAAAGACTGAACTGTAGCACCTTCAAAACTCAGTCGCTTGTGTTGTCAAACTAACTCTCTCTCCACACACTCTGAAAAAATTATGTATACATTTTCCATTTATGAGGACCCCATGACTACCCTCGACTCACCTAAATAGCTAAAGCCACGCCTTCCTTGTCAAAGGCTTTAAAGGGTTAAATTTAATCACATCTGCAAAATATCTTCTGTCACCTAAGTTACCTTATAGGATTCATAGATCAGAACGTGAGTATGGGGGGGGGGGGTGTGCATTATTTTATTAGCCACAAAGACTAAGCTAAAATACAAATGAAAAAACACTACTCTATTGAACAATACGAGTAAGTTTCTAATGCTTGAAAACAAGGCAAAAGAATTCACATGAGTCCCTTAATATAAAATCCAATAAGAAACAAACCTAACCTACGTTAAAGAAGATGCAAATAAATATAGGTAGGAAATTTAAAAAGAACGGCAAAGAAATGATTATCACAAAAACTGAACACTTTGGAGTAAAGACGCATGAGGCCAAGATCAGGTTTCTTTTTTTTTTTTTTTTTTTTTCTTCAGGATCAGGTTTCTGATCCTATTCTTAAATACTTAGGTTTGAAATTATTTTAAAGCTACATATATTGCTGGCTGGTGGTGGCGCATGCCTTAAATCCCGGGACTTGGGAGGCAGAAGCAGGCAGATCTCTGAATTTAAGGTCATCGTGGTTCTGAGTTCAAGATCAACCTGGTCTACATAGTGAGTTCCAGGACAGCCAACGGTATACAGAGAAATCCTATCTCCAAAACAAAGCCATAAATAAATAAACAAATAAACAAACAAATAAATGAAAAAGAAAACTTAGACAGACCAGTAATAATTCAGGTAAGCCCAGTTAGTATGCCAGTTCACAGCATAATTAGCTGTTAAGTGATTATTTAGTTTCTAAAATTTGGGATAGTTTGTTTTGGGGAAGTGTCCTGGTTATTTTTTGTCAACTTGTCACAAATTAGAATTATCTGGAAAGAGGAAGAACCGTTACTGAAAAATGTCTCCATCTAACTGCTCGTAAGCAAGTCTGTGGAACATTTTCTTAATGACTGATGGGAAGGCCCAACCCAATCTGGGTGACACCACCTCTGAGCAGATGGTCCAGGTTGTT